AGGCCCGTTGTTTACCCCCACACCGCGGTGGGTAAGGTTGCCCCAGCCAGCCACCCCTATGTGGAGTGCAGTCAGTAGCTCACAGTGTCCCTTGAGTTTCAGGTAAGAAAATGAACTCCCCATTTCACGCTGTGTTACCTCGAATCTGATAGCTTTCAGTGTATCGCAGCCTGGCATACACAGCTGGTCCATGCCCCTGCTCGGCCCCATTTTGAAGACAAAATCAAAAGGATGTTCCTCTTCCTAGACACAGCTCTGCTCTATAAAGGGCTTCTGTTTTGTAATCTGTTTTCGAGATCTGGTGCTTGTGTTTCTAACACCCCGTCACGTGTGGTCTGACGTAGACCTCACCATGACTATGAGCAAATGTACTGTGAGGATGTGTGTGGGATGGCGGAGCCAGCTCCCTGCAGCAAACCGTCCTTTGTCAGAAAATTTCCATAGGGCCTTGCAACCCCACACGGTGGATTCTCCTTCCGTAGGCCTGCGTTGGCTGGGTATGGAATGTGAGTTTGACTTTTGCAGGATTTCAGGTCAGTATCCTCATACAGAGCATTCTTTTTTTAGTTAGGGTTGATTTCTAAGTTTCTTTTTATAGACCACGACTTGCAGTCGAGAGGGGAGAAAGTTATTTGTCGGTTCAACTCTATTATTTTATTTATGTTAGGAACTGAGTCACTTGAATGCTGGCAGGAAGGCTTGGCCTTCTTTGATGGGAGGGTTTAGAAAACTGGGGTCCAGACAGTCTCTGGAGAGCAGCCTTCCCCCTGAAAGAGCCATTTTACTCTCCTTCGTCATGTCTTAGAGATTCACTGATAAAACACAATAGATTTCAGGAACTGGGGAGATGGCCCAAGGATAAGATGTTTATTTTGCACGCTTGAGGACCTGAGTTTGGATCCCCAACACTCACATAATGTGGCATGAGCTGCTAACTATAGTGTGCTGGGGGGACCAGACAGGAGAATAGGCAGAGTTCATTGTCTAGCCAGGTGGTAGCCTTCACGTTCAGCAAGAGACTCTGTCTCTAAAAAAAAACAAACAGAAACGCAAGGTGGAGAAAGGAGGCCATCTGACAGTCTCTGGCTCCTTTATATGCATAGACAGGTCCCCAGGTACACGCACGTACATGCACACTGAACACCAGACTTTAATAGCAAGCCCTATAAAGAGACACGGTAAATCATAGCGTTTACATGGCAATTATGATTCTAAGAGTTTCTATCTCTGTATATTTTGGTAGAATTGTCTAACTGCCTAGAGGGAAAGAAGCTTTAATGAAGCTGGAAATACTGGGAAGTGATTGCATCATTACCAAGAAGAGTTCTGTTTTTTCCGACTCAGTCTGAGGACAAAGGCCTAAAAGCAGCATCCTGGATAGGATGGTGAGGGCCTGATTGTAAATAAATGAGTAGATAGAGTCATTTGAACAGGAAGATTGTTGTGACCAAAGTAATTGCTGAGACTTATAAAACAGGATGCAAGCAAACAGTAAAATGTACAAACAGAATAAGAGAGCAGCCATGCCAATCAAAGAACAGCTTTCCCTGGGAGCAGTCAGGAACGGCCCTGTGGTCCACCAGGCTGCCTAGCCATACTCAGGGCAAAAGAGGACATTTACCTCAAGAGGGGAGGCGGCATGCATCTGTGCAGCCGTGGAAACACTTCCATCCCTCGGCATCCCCTCCTGTCTTCTGTTTTGTGTCTTACTTTTAGTCACTTTGTATTTGGCTTATTTAGGCATACATTTTAAAATAACATAAAATAATTTCCTGGAGGCAGAAATTATTTCAAAGTATTATGAATGTTGCCTTAAAGATTAGCACAGTAATCTTAAAGTTTTTATCTTAGGATATACTTGTTTTCTTTCTATTCTGTGTATGGGTGTTTTGCCCGCATGTATGTCTGTGTGCCAGCTGCATACCTGGTGCCAGGCCAGAAGGTGTCAGATCCCCTGGACCTGGAGTTATCGATGGTTCTGAGCTTCCTCAGAACCAGGTCCCATGGAAGAGCAAGTGTTCTTCACCATTGAGCCACCTCTCCAGCCCTTGGACTTACTTATCATTGAAGATTCAAAGAGGTTTGTTCATCCGAGCTCACTATTTATCATATTTACAAATTCAAATGAGTAATTAAATACTCAAGCAATGACTAAGGTCAACCTAATTAAATGACAACATGGGCAATAATTTATTTTTATTTTACTCTTAATTTTACTCCAGTAGAGTAGAATTGGGTTCACTTTGGTCTGGTTTCTAAGGCTCTACCTTAGGAAGTTCTGTTTGCACAATATGTACATTGACACATTTGCTTACATTGCTCTCTGCTCATGAGCATAGTCAGCATATATTGTACTGTAGTTATAGAGAGTACAAGGATGGATTAAATTCTTCTTGCACTTTGAAGACTCACCAAGAAAGACACAAGTGAACAAACATTCTCAGATGCTCTGGTGTGGGCATCAACACATAACTAGACATCCTAGAAGACAGAGGCTTCCCAGGTGAGGTATTATTCCAGATTGTTATGTCTAAAGACAGCCAAGTAGGAGAGCTCCAGGCCTTGAATAACAAGCATGATGCACTCAAGAACAATTAAGTTAGAGACAAGGCAAAGCAGAAGAACTAATGTTAAATAAACTGAAGTAATGGTCAGACCAGAAACAGCCAGGAGTGGCTGCAGCAAGTGACCAAAGGTCTAAGCTCCCTTGTCTCAAGACCTAAAGATGGGGAGCGCATTTGGAGTTTCTTTATTGAAGTTGAAGGATTCCTAAGATGGTGCCCTTTTCCCATGACCAAGAGGAATACAGGGATTTATCAATTGATGCTATTTATCAGTTGAAGCTAAATCGCACAATGGGGCCCACCTTGTAACAGACCCTTTACCAAAAAGTTAAGAGGAGGTTTTTGTGTGGACATTTGGTCCGTCTAACTGAACGGATGCCATGAGCTAAATGCTATCTGTAATCCAGCAGTAGGAAGACAGTGGCCAGCAGTTAGAGAAACACTGCCGAGCTGTATGGTTTTCTGGGAACTGCAAACACCAATGGCACAGAGAAGTTAGATAGAGTATATGTGGTTAGTATGCGTGTAGACCAGAGCAGGGTTTTGTTTCACACTTAGCTTCAAGGATGATGAATTGGCAGAGCATGAAAACTGTGAGTTACTGTCTGCATTTTTTTTTTTAATGTGGAAGTTTCCAAAACAACAGATTGTATCACATGAAGTCAAGGTATGCATTTCATTTGTATCTTGGCTCACGGTGTGCTGTGTTTGTTACTGTGGTTCAGTGTAAAAGCTACTGCTTTGGGCACTAGGGTGTCAATAGGCTCTGGTCATCCCAGGTTCACAGTAAAACATACAGAAAATGCCAAGATCACTCAGACACCGTCCCCCACACAGTGGTATAAGAATGTGTGGTCAGCCTGATTGGATCAAGAAGTATGTAGATTTGTAAAGTATGAGAGAGAAAGACCCACCTGAATGTGGACAGGCCAGGCTGGGAGCTGGAACAGAGTAAAGTCAGGGAAAGGAGAATGCTAGCTAGCCCAGCCTCCTTCCTCTTCTCCTCTCCTTCTCTCCCTTTCCTTCTTCTCTTCCTACCACCATATGTGAGCTGCCTTGTTCTGCCTCACTCTCCTCCACAATCATCTAAAACCTTCGAAACATTGTTTCTTGTACATTTTCCACAACAGTGGCAAGTCTGACTAAAGAAAATAACTTACGTATGCTACATGCATAACATCCTTAGACCAGCCAAGAGCCACCACACCCTTCAGTTGTGCAAACTTAGGAAGCTGTGATGAGACTACTTATCATAGACGTAGAAACATGCTTTCCTAGTCTAGTGTTTTGTCGTCTCTTTGTTGCCTTTAGTATTCTACAGGGTCATTTAAAAACTGTGCTCCAGTCTGGTTATAACAAAGGGGAAATCAAACAGAGTGAGTTGGTTCTCACCAGGCCACATGTGGAGAGGAGGCAGGATGTCCCGGTGGTCAGACTGTCACACACTGCCACTCAGAAAAGAAGCACATCAGAAGAACAAGTTCAGTGGCTCCATCCATTCTCACTGCTTCTCTGAGCAGATATCCTCATACAGAGATACCACTCACTTACGGGAAACTTTTGAAAGCAAATTAATCAATTGTTTCTGCTTTATGAATTATGTTTGAATCAGATTATCGAGGTTATCTTTGAAAAACTATAAAAGAGGCTGAGGTTATGTCTCAACAGTAGCGCCTTTGACCATCATGAGTAGAGGCCAGGGATTCAGTCCTCAGCAACATACACACACACACACACACACACACACCCCACGCCGTCAAATGAAGCCAGGTGTGTTGACACAGGCTTTTACACCAAGTACTCAGGAAAGCAGATACAGGCTGATCTCTGAATTCATTGCCAGCCTGCCCTGCTTACCTAGTTCCAGGCCAGAAGGGCTTGGGATGTGACTCACCTAGCATGTGTGATAGCCCAGCCCTAATCCCAGGTCCTGGGGTGGTGGAGGAGAACATTTGAAAGAAAACAAAGACAGGCAGATCTCAGAGTTCAAGGCCAGCTTTGTCTTAATAACAAGTTACAAGCTAGTTAGGCCTAAATAGTAAGACCTTATCTTAAGGGGGAAAAGTCAGAAGAAAAGAGGATACTCCTAAAAGAACACAGTGCCACTCAGCTCTAGAATGCCAGTGCAGCAGCCTCGAGTGGGGAGACCCTTTCTGCTTGGACATACAGAAACTTGCTCTTTCCATATTTAGATGCATACACATAGTCCCAGGAGGATTTCCAACTACAGCTGCTAGCCGTGGCATGAGAAACCGTCTGGGGCAAGAGAAGGTTGGCCTTGTGCTGTTGACTTCCACATCTTAGGAATAACAACAAGATGAGATAAACGTCTGGGTTCTCTTGTATAAAACACAATTTTTCCCAGAGTTAGCAAATAGCCTAGAAATGCAAAAGTCATTGATGGAAGGCCCCCTGACCACTTGTTTCTTGTTTCAGATGACAGTCATGTCCCTCTCCAGGGACCTCAAGGACGACTTCCACAGCGACACGGTGCTCTCCATCTTAAATGAGCAGCGCATTCGTGGTATTTTGTGTGATGTCACCATCATTGTGGAAGACACCAAGTTTAAAGCCCACAGCAATGTCCTGGCTGCCTCAAGCCTCTATTTCAAAAACATCTTTTGGAGCCATACAATATGTATTTCCAGCCACGTCCTGGAGCTGGATGATCTGAAAGCTGAAGTGTTTACAGAAATACTTAATTATATCTACAGCTCCACCGTTGTGGTCAAGAGACAGGAAACTGTCACTGATCTTGCAGCTGCAGGGAAAAAGCTGGGAATATCATTCTTAGAAGACCTTAGTGACCGCAACTTCTCAAATTCCCCAGGTCCCTATGTAGTCTGCATTACTGAAAAGGGCGTGGTTAAAGAAGAAAAAAATGAAAAAAGGCACGAAGAACCAGCCATTACTAATGGGCCAAGGATCACAAATGCATTTTCCATCATTGAAACAGAAAATAGTAATAACATGTTTTCTCCACTAGACTTGAGGGCAAACTTCAAAAAAGTGTCTGATTCCATGAGAACAGCCAGTCTTTGCCAGGAGAGGACCAATGTCTGCCTCGAGGCAGAGCCTGTCCGCACGCTTGCTGAACATTCGTATGCTGTCTCTTCCATCACTGAGGCTTACAGGAGTCAGCCGGTACAGGACAGCGGTTCATCTAGTAAAACAGGAGAAGAAAACAATGAAGCTCCTGCCACAACAGTAAAGCCATGCCGAAAGCCAAAGACCCAAACCCAGGACTCCGACGCAGCCACAGAAAACACACCACTCCCTCTAGTAAGCAACCCAGAGTTCAGTCAAGAAAGAAGTCCACCACCAGCTCCAGTTCTGTCACACTCGGAACCTCCCAGCAGTGAAGGAGATGTCCATTTCCCCAGGGCAGATGAAAACCAGCCTTCTGATATTCCTGGTCCACCAGCAGCAGAGGTCCCACCCCTTGTTTATAATTGCAGCTGCTGTTCCAAATCCTTCGACAGCAGCACCCTGCTCAGTGCCCACATGCAGCTCCACAAGCCGACCCAGGAGCCCTTCGTGTGCAAATACTGCAACAAGCAGTTCACCACACTCAACAGATTGGATCGGCACGAACAGATCTGTATGAGGTCCAGCCACATGCCCATCCCAGGGGGAAACCAGCCGTTCCTAGAAAACTACCCCACTATTGGACAGGATGGAAGTTCATTCACAAGCCCAGAATCCTTAGTACCGGAAAACAGAACTGGTGAACTCTCCGGCCCTGGGAGTGCCTTGCCAGACGCGGACCACATGGTGAAATTTGTGAACGGGCAGATGCTCTACAGCTGCGTTGTGTGCAAACGGAGTTATGTGACTTTGTCCAGCCTCCGAAGGCATGCGAATGTCCACTCGTGGAGAAGAACGTACCCTTGCCATTACTGCAACAAGGTCTTCGCGCTGGCCGAGTACAGGACACGACACGAGATCTGGCACACGGGAGAGAGGCGCTACCAGTGCATTTTTTGTCTCGAAACTTTTATGACCTACTACATACTAAAAAACCATCAGAAGTCTTTTCATGCCATAGATCACAGGCTCTCCATCAATAAAAAAACAGCGAACGGAGGCTTGAAGCCTACTGTCTATCCATACAAACTTTACAGGCTCTTGCCTATGAGATGTAAGAGGGCACCTTATAAGAGCTACAGGAATTCTTCCTATGAGAGTGCTCGAGGAAACGGTCAGAGGGGCGAGTCTGCCCCTGATGCCTTCATCATCCCAAATTCACAAGGCTCTGACATGCCCACCCTGAGCTTCCAAGATGGCAGTAACACCTTGACCAGCACCTCCGCCATCCCAGTGGAAAGGCCCTCAAGGCAGGGTGCCCCCACTCCTGCCGAAGTAAAAAATACAGAAGGCATCAAATGGAGGAAGGAGGCACTGAAAACTGATAGCTTTGATTCAACTGAGGTGTCCGTTTCTTCCACTGGAAACACTGTCAGCGCCAACCTTCAGGCTGAGCCCACAAGTGTTTCAGCTGTGGGCAAAAGCGGCGAGCACTCGGCCTCCGTGATTAGCTACAGTGGCTCGGCGCCCTCCGTCATTGTGCACAGCAGCCAGTTCTCGTCAGTGATCAAGCACAGCAATGCCGTCGCTAGCCTGACCAACAGCAATCACAGAGCCCCTTCACAACCAGCGGTCAGCCCGTCCCTGAAAGAAGACAGCAAGCCTGAGGCAGAGAAGCCCAGTAAACTTGCAAGCAAAGCCAAAAGCATCAAGGAGAGAAAGAAAGCTATTCCGTGCAACAAGGGAGAAATAGCAGAGGAGGCAAAACACGTTCCTGACCATGGAGGGTCTCCAGGCAAAACCGCAAACACTGTTGAGGAAACCAGCAAGATTGAAACATACATCGCAAAACCTGCTCTGCCTGGCACCTCCACAAATAGCAATGTCGCACCCCTTTGCCAAATAACAGTGAAAATTGGAAATGAAGCCATCGTGAAAAGGCGTATCCTTGGGACTAAGCTGTTTTACAGAAGAGGGAGAAAACCCAAGTATCAAATGCAGGAGGAACCATTGCCTCAGGAGACTGACCCAGAAACCCATGGGGACAGCCCCCTTGGGCTCTTCCAGGCTGAATGCGTAGAGATGAGTGAAGCGTTTGATGATGGGAGTGACCAGGATTCCACTGACAAGCCATGGCGCCCATACTACAACTACAAGCCCAAGAAGAAATCCAAGCAGTTGAGAAAAATGAGAAAAGTCAAGTGGAGGAAGGAGCGAGGAAGCAGAAGCTCTGGTGGCAGGTGCCGGTACCCAGCTGAGCTGGATCCCGCAGAGGTGAGGCTGCCTCCAGATAGGGCCTGTGACAACGACGAGGAAAATAAAGAGATGCCCAAGCTACAGTGCGAGCTCTGTGACAGCGACAAGGCAGCAGGGCCGGGCGCCGAGGGCAGGCCCCACCACCACCTGACCCTGAAGCCCTACGTGTGCGAGCTGTGTGCAAAGCCATTCCAGAGCCCGTCCACGCTCAAGATGCACATGCGATGCCACACCGGCGAGAAGCCCTACCAGTGCAAGACCTGCGGCCGGCGCTTCTCCGTGCAGGGGAACTTGCAGAAGCACGAGCGCATCCACCTGGGCGTGAAGGAGTTCATCTGTCAGTACTGCAGCAAGGCGTTCACGCTGAACGAGACCCTCAAGATCCACGAGAGAATCCACACCGGGGAGAAGCGTTACCACTGTCAGTTCTGCTTCCAGGGTTTCCTGTACCTCTCCACAAAGCGGAATCACGAGCGGAGGCACGTTCGGGAGCACGATGGCAAGGGCTTCGCTTGCTTCCAGTGCCCCAAAATATGCAAAACGGCCGCCGCCCTCAGAATGCACCAGAAGAAACATTTATTCAAGACCCTAACCAAGCAGGAGAAGACGGGTGACATGTGCCACGAAAGCTCAGATCTCTTGGAGAGTCAGATTTGTACTGACTCAGAAGACGGCGACCAGAAGGATAACATGCACACCTTTGCTGAAACTGTCCGTTGAGTGACGAGATCAGTTAGAAAAATCCGAAAAAAGTGGTTTGTGATTTTCTTTTTTTTTTTTAGTTCTTTAAAGTCTTAGTTTTGTTCACATAATAGTCACAAGGGGAGGGGGGAGATTAATTTTTCATTTGTGTAAACTCCAAAAACAAAAAAGGATCCTGACACCTACTTTGGGTTTTATCGTTCACTTCACACAGAGTGCATAAAAACAAAATAGCTGAATCCTCTAACGACCCAAGTATTTTGTGAAGGCTAATGAAGTTCTTAGCTGTGGTGTTTTGAGCAGTGAAAAAAAGCAGCTGAATTTTAGCCTAATTTAAAACTTTCTCGTGAACACTAATGAGGACTGCTGAACTGTTGTTAGTCATGGGAGAAAATAAGGGTCAGAGTCCTGAAGATGGCGTCTTTGAGATGTGTTAGAAGCTAAATGAGCTTTGACAGTGTTTATTGCCATTCAGTTTCTGCACTACTAATCTTTGTTAAATCAGTGGGTATTCACGAACTGCTTAACAATATAACTGAAAATATGTAATGGCTAACCTAAAGTAGGGCAGTCTACATTGTCTTGAACTGCTTTCCTGCAACGTAAACCTTGTAAAATACATATATGAGTCACTCTAACTCTTAACTGTCTGTGTCCCTTGTAAAGAATTATAACAAGCAATAGACCTGAAAATAATGAGGACTGATATAGAAATCAGTAGAGCATTTGGAATCTGGCCTGTGAGCATGCGTGAGCTTCTCAATGGAATGCTGTGCTGTTCTCTTAAAGTATGGCTGAGCTGCTATTAGAACTGGTCTACTCAAGTCACACACAACACAGGTCATGCCTTATCCATGGGGAAAGCCTTCCCAGAATTTACCTGAGATTACCTATGCCGTATAATTCTTTGCACTGGCCTCACCTCAGAGAATGAAGAATGGTCAAATTCTTCAGAACTCTCTGCAGTCTTCCAGTCATCCCAAGGCCAGTGATGTCGGGGGCTGTTCTACCCAGACTTAGGGGGGTCAAATAATCCAGATGTCTCCCATTCCTCTGAAGGTATGCAGGAGGTTGAGTGCAAGGCACACCTCTGTGGTAATGAAGTCTCAGCACTTGGAGATGGCAGAAAGTCTAATTCCTCAATTTTACACCTTCTTGGAGATAATGAAGCCCACAGGTACATGCTAGTTGAGAGGACAACAGTAGTCCCCACCCCAGTTGATGACAAGGGGAAGTGAGGACAAGGGGATATGATGGGCCTTCCTTGCCTCAAACAGCAGCATTGTTTCTGAGGGCTGGGGAAGTAGAATGTGGCAGGACAGGGTTCTGCCCCTTACAAACCTGTCTCCAAGCATCCCCAGAGCCAGAGGCCCTGCCTTCACACTTGCAGACACCTAGCCCCTTGTTAAAGCCCACTTCCGTTTCTAAATCGTTTTTTATATTCACTCGGACTGTTGACCTTGCCCTCCAGAGTCTGCTTGCCCTACAGGATGTTCTTTCACGTGAACTAGGATCCTGGAGAGCTGGAACTCGTGGTTCTTACTGTTAAAGCTGCCAGAATAGGAAGGAGGGAGAGTCCATTCCTACCCTTCAATCACCAGTATGAGCAAAATTCAGAACAGTTCAAGAGTGGCAGGCAGCCATTCCCGTTCATTGGATTTAGTAGATGGAAATGCAAGGCTGGAAGGTTTTCAGCGGACCCCAGTTTCTTGCAGCAAGTGTTGTGCCAGCTCCACAATAGAACACTTAGCATGGTTTGGGGTAGGCGAGAGAACATTTAAGCACCCAAAAAAGGACATGATTCAAGGTGACCTTTTTATACTGTAGTACTTTGCTGTTAAACAGCCCCAATATTGTATCTGCATTCATCATTTGTTCATATACTTTCACCTACATACAGTATTATATACTAGAGAAAAATGGGGAAATGCAAGCAAATTCAACGTTATTTTATCCATTGTATATATGTACACCCACACTGTTCACTTGAGTTTTGTTAAAGAGGTAGTCACAAAGGGCTTATGAAAATCACTTTTGATTTAATAATTAGATGACAAGCAATCCTTGATCCACTAATTTGTTTTATCAGAGTTATGATTATGAAGCAATCAGTTATGTATTTAAGTTGTTTTGATTTAACTACAAATATAAAATTAGTATATGTACTGATGTCTCCCAGCCCTTATATGTTGATATTTTTTAAGTGGACTTGTATGCTGAAAATTCTAGACCAAAGTAAATATGGCAGAATATTTATACATAAAAATAATTTTGCAAATATTTTCTATAATTGTATTATTCATTTAAAATGTTGATAGCTTGTGTTAGTTTCAGGGAGGGGTGTATATTTTGATAAAATACTTGACTTTGTAATTCTGTATATTCTATACAATTTATAGCAGAGCCATTTTAAGACAACTGGTTACTTTTTTTGTTGTTGATTGTGAAAATGTTGAGTGGTGTTTAAGTACGCATCGGGTACATAACGACCAAGTAGAATCAAAGTCAGTGTAAACAGTGAACATACTGTATGCTGTACAAGATATATTGTAAGTTGCTGTTTTAGCATCTGTATTTTGGTTAGGAGATATTATTAAATGCAGATGTTAAGGGTTGGAAAGGTCTAATTTTATTTTTAGAAATGATGAATATAAATTCGTTTTGCTTGATTAAAATAGCTTATTCCTATGTTAAGTCTCTTTCTTTAATGAGTTAATGTTAGTTATCTCGTCTTTGTGAGTCACGGCTTTGTGACACACAACACCCCTTCATTGTAATTGTTTCATTGCTGAATTTCATGGCATCTACATGCTTAGGACTCATAAGCTGTGATATTAAACACAATAGGGACAAGACGTGGTGGCAGATTCCTTAATCCCAGCACTCAGGAGGCAGAGGCAAGCAGAGCTCTGAGTTTGAAGCCAGCCAGTCTACAAAATGAATTCCAGGCCAGGCAAAGCTACCAAAACAAACTAACCAAAAAACTAAGAGACCACGAATGCTTCTAGTAACTGAGTGCTGGGGATAAGCCAGATGTTATGATGGAACCTCACAGTGAAATACTCACTTGAAAGTATTCTGGTCTCACAAAAAAACAGACAATAGGTGCTTAGCAGTGTCTTTGGGAACTGGGCCTTAGCTATTAACGGCAGCTCTAAAGCAAACCCCATTACCTGTTGTGTGGTGACTTTGAGACAGTCCGCCAGCTAGATAGGGTATGGTTTGCCTGACTTCAGAGTCCATGTGTTTGAACTTTCTTGGCCCTTTCAAGACAAATGCTTTTAACAAACTGGAGAGCAAGGGGAGAAGACCTCTCGCAGCTTTGGGATGGTCTAGAGCAGCAGTCCTCCACTTTTCTGATGCTGTAACCCTTTCGTTCCTCATTTTGTGGTTCCCCCACCAAAAGACAATAAAATTGTTTCCATTGCTACTTTATAACCATAATTTTGCTACTGTCCTGAATCATAAATATCAGTGTTTATAGTTTTAGGTGACCACTATAAAAGGGTTGTTTGACCCACCCAGGGGGTCACAACCCACAGGTTGAGAACCGCTGTTCTACAGGCTTCTATGAAGTGAGCTTGATGGAGGCTGTGTTCTACTCGATGTCATGTGTCCTGAGTTGCTCTTATGGTCTAGGAATATTATCCCATAAAACCTGCTTTCAAGAAAATGGAGTGAAAGCAGGGCATATGCCTATGATCCACTCAGGGAGATAGAGGCAGGCAGAGCTCTGTGAGATCAAGGCCAACCTGATCTACAAATCGAGTCCAGGAGAGCCAGGGCTACACAGAGAAACCCTGTCAGGCAGGTGGGGGGATGACGAATGGACAATGAAGTAAAGTTGTAATTTCATGTTGCCATCAGCTGGCAATATTTCACATGAAGAAAAATGTTCCATTGTTACAGGCTAACCTTAGCTGGTCATCCTGTCGCAAATGCAGTCAGTCATGACGGGGTTTGAGGCTCAGGCGGGTGATGGTGGTACATGCCTTTAATCCTAGCATGAGGAGAGGCAGAGGAGAGGCAGGTGGATCACAAGGCCAGCCTGTTCTGTGAAGCGAGTCTAGGACATCCAAGGCTACACAGAAAAAACAAAACAACAAAAAAAAAACTGTCTTTAGCATTTTCATGCCTAACATTAAAAAAAAAAAAAAAAAACTTGTAGGTAGAGATAAAATCTGTATCAATGCCATTATTAGAATTTTTTTCTGGCTGTTTGGTTTTGATTTGGGTTTTTTAAAACAGGTATTGGCTATGTAGTCCAGACTGGCTGTGTAGCCCAGACTTGTCTCAAGCTCAGGATTCTCCTTCCTCTCCCCACATCCTGTGATTACAGGTGCAGGCCACCATGTGGCCTTAAAATAGACTTAATTCTGAGTATTGTGCAAGGCTTGAGCCACAAAGATATGAAGCAGCATGTATGTATGTTCCAAGTACTTAAGTCTCATGAAGGAGGCTGATGAAGCCACAGAGAATTAGGAAATTGAGCCTGAGTTCCCAGTGGTTCAAAACCAGAGAAGAAAAACAGAGGCCCCCACCTTAAGGGTCAGGTCCACATTGGTATGATAGGAACTAAAGAGCCATGGTAGATGTAAAAGCCTGTGTTTGGGTGAGCCTGGACAGGCACGCAATGGGCACAGCAGATACCTGCGGATCTTAACACAGTATTGAATTTCTCTTTTGACCCACAGGGCTGTTGTGGAGCTGGGGCAGGACTGTGTGGTAGGGGATATGGTCATAGAGACACCAAAATTCCCAAACAAAGTGAGGCCCCTTTAGCTTGCACAGAAAGGGAAAGTGGTCTGGTGCATTTGAGAGAATCGCTTTTCCTGCAGTGACCACCAGTCAGGCAAGGCTGGACAAGGGAGCAGGTGAGAGATTGTCAGTGAGTGGGTGGGAAGTGGTGGTGACTTGGACAAGGGTGAAAATTAAAAATGAAAGATCGGACTAGAAAGATGGCTCCATGGTTAAGAGGCACTGTCTGCTCTTCCAAAGGACCTGGGTTCAATCCCAAGCACCCAGATGGCAGCTTGTAACTGTAACACCAATTCCAAGGGATCTGACACCTTCACGCTAATGCACATAAAATAAAATTAAACACGTTAAAAAAAAAAAGAATGGTAGAAATAGAACATGTCACATTCTGGGATGTGTATTTTTTAGGTCTTTGGACGTGGACATTTTTAAATGTGCAGCTCCCATGTACTCATATCCTATGCCAACAATTCGTCACCAATCACGGTTTAACTATACCCATTCCTGCTCTCCCTCTCTGCATTATTTTAAAGCAGGGCCTATACAACATACCATTTCATATGTACTAAAGCCACTATGCTCATTCTAAAAAGTAAGCAGGGGTCTGGAGAGATGGCTCAGAAGTTAAGAGCACTGACTGCTCTTTCAGAGGACCTGGGTTCCATTCCCAGCACCCACCTGGTAGTAACTACAGTTCCAGGGTATCTGATGTCCTCTTCTGGCCGCCTCAGGTACCGGGAATGTGTATGGTAGTGCCCTATCCATAGGCAAAACACTCATATACATAAGTAAATCTAAAAATTTTATTTTAACTAATAGTTGCCAGTTTGGAAGATAGCTGTCGATAAAGTGTTTGCCACTCAAGCCTGACGACTGGAACTTGGGCTCTCAGCGTCCATGTAAAAAACAGCATGTATGTCTCCTGTCCCAGTTCTGGGGAGGCAGAGTCAGATGGACCCTTGAGACTCACTGGCCAGCCAGCCCAGCCAAATCCATGAGCTCAGTGAGAGACCCCGACTCAGAAAATAAGGGGAAAACCATAGCAACTGATGGCCTCTTCTCAGGAGTGCATAGACATACATACACAAAAGTTCCATCCACTCCATGTATTTTTTTTATTTTTTTTAAATCTTGGGCTAGTGAGATTACCTTCATGGCTTTGGATTTGACCTGCCTGGGGTAACAGGGAATGACGACATGACACACACACACACAGAAAAAACTGGGATCCAGCAGATGATGTGCCAGCAGCAGCCTGAAAACTCAAGTGAGTTTATTAAACATGACATAGACAAGGAGGCGAGTCAGCTCATCAGTGCGGTTCTCTGTAGGGGAGCAGCTAGACCTGAAATCATCTGGGAGAAGGAAGCTGTGGTTGACGCTTTGTGCACACAGGATCAACATCTGCACACCAGGGGAAGACCTTGCCACTCCCATGGGTCCAAGGCTCTGAGGTCCTTGACATGGCTGCACTCATGTCAACTATACACATTTTCCAGGACTTCATCTGCTCCCCAGAAAGGTGGGCTTAGTGCTTAACGGCACATTCTACTCTTAAGGAGGACCCAAACTTGATTCCCAGCACCCACATCAGGCGGCTCACAGCCACTGTAACTCCAGCTACAGGGAATCCAAAACCCTGGGCCTCTTCGGGAACCTACATTCTTATAAACATACCCTCTCTTGCCGCCACCCCACATACATACATGACTAGAAATAATAAAGATAGATCTTTAAAAATTCTGTTATCACAATTGTCGCGATATCTGATCATTTGAATCAGAACCCAGTGATCTCTATGCTATCGTTTCCTGATCAGTAGGCCCACCTCTCTCCCTTTTTAAATTTAGTCCTAAAGAAATTAGGCTGTTCACAATGTAGATATTACCATGAAAACTTCCTCAGTGGAACTATACTCTCCCATTAGGAAGCGCGCAGTGTTGAAGACATTGAGTATATTTTGAAGATAGATCTAATAGTTGGTGGTGGTGTTTAGGTACCAGGGCGTAAGAAGAACGAATCAAGGAGAACTCTTTAAGTTTTCGTTCTGAGCAAGTGGAAGGATGGAGCTGCCTACAGTCACACAGTCAGAGATTCGGATGAGACTGGTCTCAGGTGTGCAAGTACTTCAGTTACTTGAAGCATGGCTGAGTTAGGTGCTGAGCGAATACAGGAGGAGAAGCAGAAAACAATTCTCACAGTGCAGCAGGAAACACACACACACACACACACACACACACACACCTGAGTAACTGCAAGCAACTGTTAAGTGCTGTGAGGAAGGTGTGTACTGTTAGGAAGTCACCTAACACCATGGGACAGGATGCTTTGGTCCAGTGGTTCTCAACCTGTGGTTCTTGATCCCTTTGGGGACCCTTTCACAGGGATTGTATGTATATCAGATAGTCTGCATGTCAGGTATTCACATTATAACTCAAAACAGCCACAAAATTACAGCTATGAAGTAGCAATGAAAATAATTTCATGGTTGAGCGGTTACTACAGCATGAACTGTATTAAAGGGTCACAGCATTAGGAAGGTTGAGAACCACTGCCCTAGTTTAAACATCAAGGAAAACTGACCTTGAAGAAACAGCGTTTGAGCTGACATCTGAAAGATGAGCAGCAGCTAACAAGGAGAGAGAGGTTCTGGGCCTGGGGAATGATGTGTGCCGTGAGAGAGATCACAGTGCACGGGAGGCCGGTCGTGACCAGGATGCAGGTGAAACGGGCTTGAGGTCAAACTGGATGGCAAAGGGCTGGAGTATGCAAGGCCTTTCGCGTTGTGTTGAAGATCTGAGTCTCGTGTGAACGGCAACACAGATGTTGGAGGCACTTGGATGTTGGAGATGTGGCTCAGTGCTTGTGTAGCATGTGTGAGCCCCTGGGTTCAATCCAAAGAAAGGAAAGGAGAAAAAGAAGAGGGAAGGG